GTTGGAGGTAACAGTTACATTATTGGCTACTGTCTTAATTATGGTGAATCCCTCCCTTGCATGGGAGAATACTTTAAAAGGAGGTTGTGTGGATTAAAAGTCAGTTCTGCTCCTGATGCTGTGTGTCGTACAGTCATTGGGATCTGTATGGGAATATTCGTGGATTACATTGCTTGCTGGGATTATTACTCTATGGTATTTTATTGCTTGTTCCTGAGCCTCACTGGGATCTTTAGTGGAGTTAACCTGTGAAAGACCAGCTCTCCGTTACAGGGTAATTTTAATTTCTTGGCTGCCATATGGTCTCAAAGGCAGCCTAGACACGGCAAACTAATCTGACAAATTTCAATGTGAAAAAGCATAAATGGATAAGCCGTATATATGACTGTGTAACTTGCCAAATCCCTATAAAAGCTATACATGGGGGGTACCATGGCGCTTGTGAGACATCACTGAACAGAAATTGGAGTGTTTCAGGGCAGTAAACTATATACTGACAATAATATTATCAGTGAAAGTACAGTTTTTATGTGAAAAATGCAAAAACAAAAACAAAACGCTAACTTTGGCTAGGGTTTGTGCCCAAGTGACTACTACAAAAGACTGGGCATAGACCATTTTGAATACCCTGGGATGTCTACTTTTTCACATAGTATGCCATGATGGGGGTAATTTTAATTTCTGGGCTGCCATACGGTCTTAAAGGCAACCTAGGCCCAACAAACCAACCTGTCAAATTTTTATGTAGAAAAAAAAAATTATGAACAAGCAGTATATTTGACCCTGTAACTTTCAAAAAACCCATAAAACCTATACATGGGGGGGTACTGTTTTACTCGTGAGACATTATTGAATACAAATATGTATGTTTTATTGCAGGAAAACAGAACAGTATTCTGACATTAACAGTTAAATTGCCATGCAGAAATTGAAAAATAAAAAAATTTCTTAATTTTTTTAAGTTCTTTAGATTTTATTCATATATAATGGAGTTCCATATATGAATGTTTGATATGAAATGAAAGCTCTGTTTCCCCTGAACAAAATGATATATAATAAGTATGGGTGCACTTAATATGAAAGAGGTAAATTATTGTTAAACAGACGTATAGTCACATTCTGTGGTTTTTTTACATTTTGTTTTGATCACAACTTGTACATTTGGCTCAGTCCTTAACCCCTTAAGGACTGGACTGTTTTTGCGATGTTGTACATTTGCGACCAGGCATATTTTTACACTTTTGTGGTGTTTGTGTTTGGCTGTAATTTTCCGCTTTCTCATTTACTGTTCCCATACAAATTATATATTGTTTTTTTCAGGACAAAAGGGGCTTTCTTTACATACCATTATTTATATAATCTCATGTATTTTAATTTAAAAAAATACAAAAATCTGATGAAAAATTGAAAAAAATACATGTTTTTTGACTTTTACTTGAAAAATCTTTTACTCATCTACAAAAGCGAATGAAAAAAACTGCTCAATAGATTCAAAATTTTGTCCTGAGTTTAAAAATACCTAGTGTTTACATGCTTTTTTGCTTTTTTTTGCATGTTATAGGGCTATAGGTACAAGTAGGATATTGCGGTTTCAAAACATACATGTTTAAGATTTATCAATAGTGACATTGTAACACTATAATCTGTCATAAATCTCTGAATAACACCCCACATGTACATATTTTTTTTAAAGTAGACAACCCAGGGTATTCAATATGGGGTATGTCCAGTCTTTTTTAGTAGCCACTTAGTCGAAAACACTGGCCAAAGTAAGCATTCATATTTGTTTGTGTGTGAAAAAAGTAAAAAAACTAAATTGAACGCTAATTTTGGCCAGTGTTTGTGACCAAGTGGTTACTAAAAAAGACTGGACATACCCCATTTGCAATACCTTGGGTTGTCTTCTTTTGCAAATGGTATGCCATCATGGGGGTAATTCTCATTCCTGGGCTACCATACGCTCTCAAAGGCAACGTAACCAACCTGGCCATTTTCAATGTAAAAATATTTGACCCATATATTTGACCTTGTAACTTTCAAAAATGCTATAAAACCTGTACATGGGGGGTACTGTTTTACTCGGGAGACATCGCTGAACACAAATATTAGTGTTTAAAAACTGGAAAACGTATCACAACAATTATATCATCAGTAAAAGTGCTGTTTGTGTGTGAAAAATGCAAAAAAAGTAACTTTCACTGACAATATCATCGCTGTGATATGTTTTACTGTTTTTAATCACTAATATTTGTGTTCAACGAAGTCTCCTGAGTAAAACAGTACCCCCCATGTACAGGTTTTAGGGTGTCATAGAACGTTACAGGGTAAAATACAGTGCTAGCAAATTAAATTCTCTGGAATTTCAGCCTGGGTTGGCATGCAGGTCCCTCAAATTGCAATCAATAAAATTACTGAATTATGTAAAAATATTACATAAATACGCACGTAGAATTTAAATATATATGCATATTTATATATTTGAAATCTACGTGTATATTTATATAATTATTTATGTAATTTTGTATATGGACATATGTATATTTTTATTATTTTTATTTATTTTTATATACATAGATATATATACAAATTCATTCTAAGTGTATTTTGATATAAATATATATATATTAATTTTAAAATACAGTTAGAATAAAATTTCATATAGATATATAATTTTTTTTAAATTTTTTATTATTATTTTAAAAAAATTATTTAATTTAAATTACTTATTATTTATATTTTATAATAATATATATATACAATATATATAGTTATTATATATATTATATATATACGTGTGTAATTTAATTATAAGTGTATTTTTATATTAATATAAGTACATATTAATATAAAAATACACTTAGTATGACATTATATATATATGATATATAGACATATATTATATAGATATAATATATGTCTATATATCATATATACACATATATAAGTATTTTTTTTTATTAACACTAACTTTATTTTTATTTTTTTTCTGATTTTACACTAGCAGGGAGACACATGGACACCTATTGTGACCATGTGATCGCTGTGTTAAGCGATCACATGGCCACAGGGGTCCTAATTCAGTGTGGGGAGACTGTCTGGGCTACAGGCAGTCTCCCCACAACGGGAGCACCGCTGATCGCCTCCGGGGGAACGACGGCGATCAGGTAAGTAGCTCAGACCGTTAGGACGGTTCAGGACCGTCATCGGTCGGCAATGGGAAAATGCCGATGACGGTCCTGAACCGTCCTGGGTCGAGAAGGGGTTAAGGGGTTAAAGCCCCCCCAAAAAGGTAAACAAACAAAAAAAAGACTATGCCGTCAGTGAAAACTATTCTAGCAACCTAGTTTTCTACCCTACCCTTACCTTTTGTGTCACTATACCCAACACCCTCTATCATGTAAGCGCGTTTGAGCAGAGCTCTCAACCCCTCTGTTCCTCTGCGGCTAACTCGTCTGGTTACAATTACGTGTTTGTTAGGCCACCCATTGTACAGAGCTGCAGTATTTGTTGGTGCTATATAAACAATATTAATATTCCATCCTATGAGGTTTTTCTAGTACCATAATACCCTTATTTAGAACAGGTGTCCAAAGTTGTACAGCATATTCAAGGTGTGGTCTTACCATTAATTTATAAAGTGGAACAATTACATTTTCATTCCAATAATTAATGCCCCTTTCTATGCTAGACTATATCTTACTGACCTTAGTAACTGCTTGATTGAAAGTGCACATTGTTGCCTAGTTTATTGTCTATAGCAATTCCCAAATCCCTCTCATATGTTATCATCTCGAATTCAGAAAAAATTGAATTTCTGCCTTCTCCTGAACTACATTTACTAACACACCTATCTCTGATTTCAGTGTACCTGCACTTTCATTTTGTTTTTAAATTCATGTACTTTTGGTTTGTTTTGTTCTCTTTGGCTATGATTTTCTCATTTTCATGTTTAGCTCATTATATTTTTACATGCATAATCTGCCTCTGATCTGTCTAATTTAAAGGTTTTAAATGCCATTTTCTTATTATTCATTTCTTGGCATACTCCACATTGGTTTCAGTTTGTTTCTTTAATATTTGTTACCCAATGGTGTATATATACTGAGAAGTTGTTTTGTTACTTTCTTGTTAATTTTATTGTATTATTATCATACCCAGACACTCTTGCCCTATACTATTTATGAAGAAACATTAAAACATATAATGATTTGCACACAAAAAAAATGCTTAGAGAGGATATGATAATAGTGTAAAAGTATGTTCATAGTAGGGGGTAAACAAATGAAGACACCAACATGTTCCAATAAAAATAGATACAATTATTATGATAATAGTAGACTGCATTTATTGACATTAAAAGGTAATTTCCTTTAAAAAATACAATTTGACTATAGCCTAGTATCATCTTTATGTGAAAAGTAGGTAATCACCCCCAAATCATTTATTTTTATTTCCAAAGATTAACACACACACACTACACAAAAGCCATATGACATGAAAGAACAATACATGTTTACTGGGCTACCAAAACGTATCAAATCTCTAGGTTACTAGGTTGTCACTTGACTATATTATATTTTTTTAATGCAATAGTTTAAGAAAACAGCAAAATCAACATCACAATAGCTATGGGCAAAAGGCATGGTTAACTGTAGAAAGTAACCTAAATTGCTGTTGATGTTTTAAAGTGACATAAAATATAGCTCCATCAGTATAAAAAGATATAAAAAAATTAATGGCTATGTTTAAAAGCGCTTCATGCCCTGTTTGTCTACTAAGGGCTACAGGGTCCACAGAAATGTATGCTTGATAGCATGTTCATTAATAGCACTTCACAAACAAGAGTGAACATTTTCTGTATTCTAATATTTTGAAAATATTTTAATATATTTGTTTGTAATATATTGATTTTTTTATGTATTATATATTTTTTGATTGTTTAATATTTTGAAAATATTTAAATATATATATATATATATATATATATATATATATATAACATATATATATATTTATTCATCTCTATTTTCTCTCCAAGTTACCACTAGCCCTAATGCTTTACCTTTGTTTATCAAAGCCAGGTTGATAGTAACGAGAAACACTGTGTTAATATATGATTCTGAGTTAACATCCAGTATACTTGCTTGTAAAAAATTGAATGTGTCTGTAACACTGTACTATGCCCTGCGAGGCAACATAATGTACTACTTTTACACATTAGTTATGTGATGTATATTATGTGGTGTGACGAGACCAATCTCGCCACTGTGCATTGGAGGAGCCTGGTTGCCCGCCTGCTGCCTTTAGACTATGGCCCCATGTTGAAACGCTTGATTTTCCCCTGCAAAGACACGAAAGCCGGGTCATTCGGTGCTTTCCCTCTTTGAGCGGTGATACCCCAGATAGCTATGCCATGGAGCCCATTCGTATAATGAAAGACTATGGGAAAGATTTTGGCTCCATGGCAATTGAACTGTATGTATGTGATATGAGCGTCATTCAGTAATAATGTGCACTCAGATCTAAGCTATCTGGGGATATGTTGAATGTACCTGTTTTATGCAATAGCTGCACAGTTATATATTTTTATGTATTTTATTGTCTTTTGCTGCCATGTGTTCAATGAAGTTTTGCCTCTGTCCTTGGAGATAATTGGATTACTTCCCAATAATCTCCAGGATAGAAGACTCTGTGGAAATGGTTTTGGGCAGAAAAGCCATGCTTCATTTGGTCACAAAGGACTAAGATCAATCTTTTGAACCACTGGACAATCGGACCAATTTTTATGATTTTGACGTATGTTTGTATTTGGAGTATGCTGATTCTGAAAATGTACGTTTTATGTGAATGTGATGCATACTTTAAAAATTATGAATAACTTGAAAAAACTGCATTTCTCTGCCTGTGATAATTACATTACCCATTGTATAAGGTAATTGTATCACAGGCAGAGGGGAGGATTTTGTGTGGGAGTGTCTGAGTGTATTGTACGTGTTTATTGGTTGTTTTCCAAAACCCTGTGGGTGGTACTAATGTGTAAGAATGTGTATATAAGAACAATAAACCCACAGCTCTGTCTGTTCCTGCTTGACCCTCAAAACGGAGCCTTGTCTCGTTCTTGGGGGGATTCATTGTATGCTGTTCCAGTTCGACTGCTAGGAGTGTAAACCTATTCGTATTGGTTTTTCCTATTCGGTTGTTTACGGCATTCATATGGTTTCCTGTTCGGTGGATTAGTGTCTTTGGTAGCTGCCTGTATATCTGGAAGGGGAATATCTCCTAAATGGCTTTTAACCCATTTTATGCCTGGGGTGCCCTTACATGTGGAACCTCTGAAATGCTGTCTTTATGACACTAAAAATTAATTATACAAAAAAAAAAAGAAAGAAATATATTTATATATTTATTTATATATTTAATTTTTTTATATATGATATCTTTTTTGACATTTTAATATTTAGAGAAAAATAATTTTTAAAGTGTATATAAAATAGTAAATCATTTGAAAACCTTATCCAAAATTTTTAAAATAGAAGTATTAATTTGCAAAAAATATGAGTTTAGCTAATAACCCTGCTAATTATTTTTAACTTTACACACTTTGCTCAGGTTGGAGTTTTCTGGTATGCAATCATTATTGTTTTCTGGAGAAAGGATATTTATGCAGCTAAAGAGCAACGTGTGTTGATAATAATCACTAAGACAAATAGACTGTGAAATAATTTTGTGCGTTCAATTTTGTGCGTAAAAGATTCCAGTAAATGTGGCTTCTACTCCACCCTCCGATAGGGTTTTGGTAAATACACAGAGGTTAACAGGTCTGATATGCATGTTGGCAAATAGGAAAGTGGAATGAAATATAACTTTGCATCCCATCCAGCAGAGTAACGTGTCCACGGGTGACAAGCAGTTAATGCATGTTCCATACAGTCTGTGGCTTTGTAGAATGTCGAATTTCCTGCGTCAGCCAGAGCTTGAAAAGTCTGTGCAACTATATGAGCAACAAAGAATACATTAGTACTGAAAAATGTACATACTCAGATTCTGCTAGTCTAGTATTACACATGACTAGACAAAGATGGCTGTATTAAAACAACATATCAAGGCTTGGTTGAAGGGACACTATAGGCACCCACAGGGCCGATCCTGGGGTCATTGACGCATGGGTGCAAGAATATTTTTGGCGCTCTCCTTCCCCATGGGTGTGGCTATATTGCTAACATCTCCCCTTTACAAACAAAACACTTCTAATCACACCCATTTTCTATGGAAATCACTCCACCTCCAACCCCGGTCACATGTCACCCACTTCCTACAGTGCCAGCTTTACTCCTAAAAAGCTTATTAGTGCCATATTTGTGCCCAGCTCTACAGTGTCGCCTCTGTCCACATACAGCTTCCCAGTGCCATCTTTGTCTCAAAATTGCTAATCAGTGCCATCTCTCTGTCCCAATATAGCTAATTAGTGCTATCTTAGTCTCAAAATATCTTTGTCCCCATCTTATCAGTGCCACTTTTGTCTCCAAATAGCTTAATAGTGCAATTTTTGTGCCCAAATCACTGACCAGTGTTATTGTCCCAATATTGCTAATCAGTGACATTTCTTTTTCCAAACAGCTTACCAGTGCCATCTTGTCCTCAGAGAGCTTGTCAGCTGGTAGTGTTTTTGTATGAGCTGTGTGTAAGCTGGATGTATTTTGCAGAGAATCAATGTATTTGTAATTCAGAAATGTATTTACAGATGTGTGTGAATTCAAATGAACATTTGTGTATAATATTAATATGTACAGATGCAGTTTTTAAATATTTTTATGACATGTGTTAGTCAGTGCAAGAATGTATTTTTAAACCGTGTGTGTGTATATTTGTATGTATAAGTGTCCTTTATTGAACGTTACTGTGTGTGCATGCATTGTTGTTTTCAGCAGTATGTTTGTTTATTTTTCTAAATTTCCCTGTGTGGCTTATCTCACCACTCTCTTCCACTTTTGGCTCTATCCCATCCCCTGGGGCCGTTGCTATGTGGACTGCGGACTTTAACCCCAAATTACATTTGATAACCCCTCCTATAATTGAAATTAAGCTTGCCCCTCCTCACCAATGGCATGCACACCAAAACACGACCACATCCATTATGCAATGCAATGTGTGTAGTGAATAATGTGTGCTGGGGATGCAGTGTGTGTCTGCATCTGTGCAGGGAATGCAGTGTGTCTCTTTGTGCAGGGGATGTAGTGTGTGTCTGATTGTGTGTAAAAAACACCCACAATTTTAAAAAATATTTAAAAAAATATTAATTCCAAAAATATGTAAACTGCATGTTAATAAGTGTCCCCTCAAGACCCCATTAGAGACTACAACGGAGTCTAAAGGCCCTAGAGATTGTGTTCTCTAAAATGGTACCCCCTTTCACAATATAGTGATATAACAAAGCTCTGTGATACCCAACTCAAGCTGTCTCTTCTAACCTTAATTACTGTTGCTGGTTGGATGCTGTGACTGGCAGGCTGCTGTGGCTGGTTGGCAGGCAGGCTGGCTGCTGTGGCTAGCCGGCAGGCTGGCGCTGGCAACTGTGACTGGCCTCTTTCTTCCGCCAGCAGGCATCTATTTCTAACTCCTTTGTGTGTGTTTTTCCCCCCTCCCTTTTGTTTATCTCTCCCCCAGCCATTCTGTGTGTCTGTTCAACCCCACAGCCCCTCTGTGTGCCTTTGTCTCCCCCAGCCCCTTTGTGTGTCTCTTTTTCCCTCAGCCAATTTGTGTATCTGTTTCTCCCCAACTCATTTGTGTGTCTCTTTTTCCCTTCCCCAGCTCCTCTGTGTCTCTCTGCCCCCAAGTGCTTCTATGTTCCTCGTTGTCTCACCAGCCCTTCTGTGAGTCTCTTTGTGCCCCCAGTCCCTCTGTGTGCATGTGCCCCCCCAGCCCCTTTGTGTGTCTCTATATCTCCCCTTAGCCCCTTTTTGTGTGTCTTTGTCCCATCTCAGCCCATCTGTGTGCCTTCCCCCCCCAGCATCTCTATGAGTCTCCTTAGTCCCCTCCACTCCTGTGCCCTCTTTATCCCCTCTACCCTCCTGTCTGCTTATGTAGCCCTTCTCCCTCCTGTGCCCTCTTTAGCCCCCTCCTCTCCTGTGCAGTCTTTTGCATCCCTCCCCTCCTGTCTCCTCTTGAGCCATCTCCCTTCCTCTGCACTCCTTAGCCCCTTCTCACCTCCTGTGCCCTCTTTAGCCCCCTCCCTTCCTCTGCACTCTTTAGTCCCCCTTCCCTCCTGTACCCTCCTTAGCCCCTTCCCCTTTTGTGCTCTTCTTATGGCCCCTCTCCCCTTCCTGTGCCCTCTTAGCCCCCTCCCCTCCTGTGCCCTTATATTGCCCCCTTCCCTCCTGTGCCCTTTTAGCCCCCTCACCTCCTGTGCCCTTATGTACCCCCCTCCCCTCCCTGTGTGTGCTCACTTTCCAGCCCAGCCAGCCTTCCAGGAGCTCTGAGGGCCTTCAGGCAGGAGGCAGAGCTTAAAATGAAGGGCGTGGCTATCGAGTGGGGCAGAGCCTAGCACCTCGATGTGCCTCTACTCACAGAGCTTTATGGGCACCCAAGTAACTAATTGAAGTGGTTTGGGTGCACTGTCCAGAGAAACTGCAATGTTTACATTGCATCACTAAGTCTGCCTCTAGTGGCTGTCTAACTGATGCTGGATGTCATCATGCTCTGCCCAGTGCTTTCCTATTGGGAAGTTTAATGCACACGTGGCACGCACAGCACATGTGCATTAGCGCCAGCTCTTCGAGGAAGATCAGAGTAGGCGGAGCCGCGACCTAGTGCCATGGGGAGCGTGGGGGGGGGGGAAGGGGTAGGAGGCTGAGTGGGGGCTATAGTATCCTTTTAAGGTTAGGGCTTTATGAATTAAGTTTTGAAATTCTAAATTTTCAAAGTGACTATGTGACAGTTCCAATTCAACCTGTCAACCTTTTTAAGTCACACTAATCTGGAGAAATTAAGAAAAAAGCCTCCAAGCAAGTATAATGACCCGAGTAGCGCAGGCTACAATTTACTAACCTCTAACCCCAAATAAAAAGATACAACAGAGTCTCACATTTTTTGTAATACTGTTCTCCATAACTCTCTTTAATTTCAGCAGGAAGATTCTTCCATATTTGCGCCAAACCTTCAAATGCAGGCGAACTTATAATGGATGTTTTGAAAGCACCTGGTTCCACAATGGAAACCTTAACACCAAAGCTGGAGAGCTCCCTCCTGAAAAATAATGAAATTAACTTTAGGCACAGATCATTGTGTCAAGTGCAATCTTTACAAAATGTTATATAATATTATGAGCTGTGAAGTCACAATTGGAATATTACAATTAAAGAGGCTGCGTCAGAAATTGTCTTGGTGCTCTAGGCAAATGATGGGCCCGGACTTCCCCTGCACTCCTACCCAGAAGTGTGTTGGCTGTGTATTATGACAGTGTGTGAGTTTGGCTGAGTGTAATGTGTGTGGTTGCCCATGTATGAAGTGTGAGGCTGATTGTGATGTATTTGGTTGGTTGTGTATGAATATCTGTATGAGATGAGTGTGACAGTGGTAACCAGCTGTGTGGGAGGGAGGCTGTGTTTATGTGCAGCCTTCTCACACATTTAAATATTTAGTCAGGGGGTGCTACAATTTCTATTCCTTGGTGGTCCAGTAGGTTATGATGCTGCTCTCTTGTGGTTAGGTGGGTGGAGCATCTGGTCTCCACCTGTGGCAGGTGCAGTTCACTGTAAGCATTCCTTCTAGTCTTGGACTGCGAGAGAGTGTCTGCAGTGATCTGCCTCGCCCAATATACAAAAAACACACCAGTGAGAGGGCATTTCGCTGGTCAGCGAGACCTTTTCCTAAAAGGATGCCCCTCGGAGCCAGTGTTCCAGGAGAATGCCTGTTTTTTTTTTAATACTAGTGCATTATATCTGGCTACCACAAAAAGTTAAATATCCAAACTGAGCACTCAGCCAGCGGAATGAGACTCTCAGTTTTGGTTTTTACTTTTTGTGGTGGCCCTTGTCCTGCCATTTCTGGTGAGTCAGGACCGCTATTATCTGCTGCTAGCTTGCCCTGCCTACATGTGATTATTCCTGTTTTTGATTGTTACATAGCTCCACCATCTCACCTACAATTCAAGTTCACTTTCACACACCCAACTATCCTGCCAAATAGCCCCCACCTAACCTCCCATTCATTTGCACCCACCCACATGGGCGTCCGCAGGGGGGGGCACTTTCCCCCCACCCCCCCTTGTTTATTCAACTTGTTCTGCTATTTTTCGTGTGATTGAAAATGAACTGCAATACCGGCGCCGGCCAGTAGGTGGCCCCTTGTATGGAGAGAGACAGGGATGGGAAGCTGCATCTTATCCCTGCTTCTCTGCTGATTGAAACCGCAGACAGAGACAGCCTACAGATCAGGTAAGTGAGGGATGGGGGGAGGGTTTGAGATAGCTTATAGATTTTTTTTGGGGAGGGCAGCAGCCTATAGATTTTTTTTGGGGGGGCAGCAGCCTATAGATTAGGGGAGGAGTGAGGCTGGGGCAGCAGCCATAGATTGGGAGTGAGTGAGGGATGGGGGCAGCAGCCTATAGATTTGGGGAGTGAGGGATGGGGCAGCAGCCTATAGATTTTGGGGGCAGCAGCCTATAGATTAGGGAGTGAGGCAGCAGGGATGGGGGGGGCAGCAGCCTATAGATTAGGGAGTGAGGCTGGGGGGGCAGCAGCCTATAGATTAGGGGAGTGAGTGAGGGATGGGGGGGGCAGCAGCCTATAGATTAGGGAAGTGAGCATAGGCGTGCACAGCCTATTGCATTAGGTTGTGCACCCTAAAGCACAAACACACGCCATGTGTATATGTATGTATGTATGTATGTATGTATGTATATATATATATATATATATATATATATATATAATATACTCTGCTGTGTGTGTGTGTGAGGGTGCTGGTAGTGTGCTATGTGGGTGAGGGTGTTTTTGTGTGTGTTTGTGAGAGTGCTGTTAGTGTGCTGTGTGTGAGGGTGCTGTTTGTGTGCTGTGTGTGAGGGAACTGGTAGTGTGCTGTGTGTGTGTGTGTGAGACAGGGTGTTTGTGTGTGCGTGTTTGTTCGGGTCCTGTTAGTGTGCTGTTTGTGTGCTGTGTGTGGGTGTTGTGTGTTTGTCAGGGTGCTGTTTGTGTGTGAGTGTGCTGTTTGTGTGTGGGTGCTGTGCGGGTGTTGTGTGTGGGTTTTGTGTGTTTGTGAGGATGCTGTTAGTGTGCTGGGTGTGTGTGTGAGGGTGATGTATGTGTGTGGGTGCTGTTTGTGGGCTGTGTGTGCTGTGTGTAGGTGCTGTGTGTAGGTGCTGTGTGTAGGTGCTGTGTGTGTGTGTGTGTGTGCTGTAGGTTTGGGTGGAGGTGGGGGCAGATTAGTTAATATCCAAGTCCTGCTGCCTCCCCTGGTGGTTCAGTGGAGAATGAACTCTAGCCCGGGTTCTCTGCTGCCTCCCTCCATGCTGCTGTGGACCGGTGAGGTAGAACTTTGATCTCCCCACCGGCCCATGGAGGCCTAGACCAGAGCCGCCACTCGGATAGCGTCGGCTCTGCATGAGCCGACCGGGGAGATCCAGAGATCTCCCCTGCCGGTCTCAATCCATTGGCGTGCCGCGGGGATTAGGGTGTGCCCAGGCACACCCGACACAACCCGTGCGCACGCCTATGGAAGTGAGGGATGGGGGAGACAGCCTACATGAAGAGTCAGCAAGGAGCAGGAAGGTAAAGTAAGAAAAGGAGAAGGAACAGAAATGAGCAGGAAGGAATATCAAGGAGCAGAAAGGGGCAGCAAGGAGCTGGAAGGGACAGCAAGGAGCAAAAAAGGTAAAGTAGGAGAAGGAGCACAAAGGAACAGAAATGAACAGGAAGGGTCAGCAAGGAGCTGGAAGGTAAAGCAGCACAAAGGTGAAGTAGAAGGAGCAGAAAGAGTCAGAAATGAGCTGGAAGGGGCAGAAAGAGCACAAAGGTAAAATAGGAGAATGAGCTGGAAGGGCCTGCAAGGAGCAGGAAGGAGCACAAAGGTAAAGGAGCAGAAAGAATCAGAAGGAGCACAAAGGTAAAGTAGGAGAAGGAGCAGAAAGGGACAGGAAGGAGCACAAAGGTAAAGTAGAAAAGTGAGCAGAAAGGGTCTGCAAGGAGCAGAAAGGGATCAGAATGAGAAAGGAGCAGAAGTGCGCAAAATAAGCAGAAAGTAGCAGAAAGGTAAAAGAGCAGAAGGGGCCAAGGATAGAAAACAGTGTCAGAAGAAAAAAAATGAAGGAGAGGAAAAGGAGATTGGAGCAGGAAGGACAAATGAGGTGAACCCTCCACTTTATTCTGGACACCACATCATAAGGCTTTTACCTGGGCCAGGCAGGGAAACGCTGGACCTTCTCATCTCCAAAGGTAAAAAAATATCAGTATTAATGTGTTCACTTTTATTTACTGAGTGTCAGGAAGCACATAGTGCCGTTAGGTAGGGGTGTTGCTGATTGGCTAGAGTGGTCAGCTAGCACTCTAAGCCAATCAGTAGCTCCCCATTCATAAAAAAGTAAAAATATTTTATGAACCGGGAACTAGCGATTGGCTTAGAGTGTCAACTGTCCACTCTAGCCAATCAGCGGCACCCATGACTGATGTCAATCTGCACTTCCTGACACTCTGTTTCAGAAGCCAAATACCACTGAGTGACCTGGAGCTGGAGGAAGCCTTTGGGGTTAAACCATTTGAGAGCGATTTAACCCCTTAAAGGAAAGCGAGCACCCAGGGGCTTCCTGGCATCATAGCATTTTCATTTAGGTGAAGTTGTTATGGTGACCAGAATGGTCCTTTCATTTGCTTAAAGGAACACTATAGTGTCAGGAATACAAACATATATTCGTGACACCATAGCTGTGAAAACGCTATTCACCCTGGCTTTATGTGATAATGGCTATGCCCCTTCCCTTTCATGACACTGTCAAAAAGGTACCAAGCATGGATGTCATTACCATTATGCCCCCCCCTGGAAAAATTCCTGTGGACGCCCATGCCCACCCACCTAACATGTCACATAGAGGTGCTGATTGCAGAGGACCGTTTCTTTTGTTTACCCAATAGTGATGATGGAGCAACATCTAGTACATAACCAGCTTTCTCAGTGAAGAATTAACAGCTTAGCTGTATATATATATATATTTAAATTAACTATATGGGCACTGTAACAACTTCAACTAAATAAAGTTCTTATGGTACCCAGAAGTAACCTGACACTTTCTTTCCTGAAGGGATTAAACCGTTCTCAAGTGGTTTAACCCCAAAACTTACTCTCCAGTGTCAGATGTCCCTGTCCCCAACAGCATCTGGTTTCTTTAATGCAACTTTAGGAAGCATAGAGTGCCGCTAGGCAGGGAGGCTGCTGCAAACAGTTAGCTAATGCTCTAAGCCAATCAGTAACTCCCCATTTATAAAAAAAAAAGGTACAACAGAGTCACATTAAGGCTCAATACTCTTATTGTTTTTCATTTTGCACAGTACAGTCATAAGTTAAGTTTGGATTAAGTATCCTGATGCTGAGTGCCCTCTGTACCCAAAAAGCTTTCCAGGCAGGCTAGTTTTAAAACTTAAATGAAAGGTTTACTCCAAGCACCATGACCACTTCAGTGACTTGAAGTGGTCATGGTGCCTGGAATTTATATGTTCTGCTTTAGGTCTACTGTGGCTATTATCAAATCTATGAAAATATGGCTGTTCCAGATAGCTAATGGTGCATTGTCTCCTCGTCGTGCTGCCCATGTCTTCCTCTTAGCCTGCCCTCCCTCTCCCTCAAGGTAAGTGATATCAGCAATGGAAAATCAGGCAGGAATTAGAACTTGTCATTGGCAGTGGCGCTGGAATGGATGTAAGATTTCGCTCTTTTTTTATGTTTGATAGGGCGGACCAGGCAAGAAAAAGGCAACTCTAACAAAAAAAAACGTGATTTCTTAAATATACTTGTTTTTGGTTTTTGGAGTAACGTTTTAATTTAAAATCAATATCAAAGAACAACTGCTGAATATTTTGACAATTTTCAATATTTTCATTACTAGACAAATAAGTTGTTCACAATGTTGCTAAGAACATTTTTGGTCACAGAGACATTTAGTAAATAAATAAATTAATAGTTTAATATATATTTACCGAAGACTGTCACCAAAAGCTTCCAAACCGAATTTAGATAAAGCGTATCCACCTCCAAATACGGAAAGCCTTCCAAGAATACTAGACACAATAATAATTCGACCCCTTGCTCTTCTAACCAGTGGCAGCAGTTTCAATGTAACATCTACTGTTCCTAGTAAGTTTATATTAAGCACCCGAGCATAATCCTCCTTTTTAAGCCATCCAATAGGAGCTGCGGGGACAATGGTTCCAGCATTATTGACCAATCCCCATAGACCTGCAAAGATATATTGAGAAGAATTAGGTGACACTCAAACAAATTTCAACAAATGTAATCATATTACCACAATATGGGAAAATTATGATCACCTCTGGACATTCACATTATACTACTTTTTTTTTTTTTTTTTTAAAGTGTTCACTGCTCTCTGAATGTTACCTTAACAATCACGTTAAAAAGCGCACTTATAGTTTTAGAACAGCAATTATCCTTATCTCCCACCGGCATCCATTGACAAAAATCTGGTGTCAATGATCCATTTCCAGACGGGCCTGATTAGTGTTGCTTTATTAATCACAAGCTACGTTGGCTTAGACTCCTCTATAGTAAGCTGTGTCAGGCCTGTCATGGGCGGTGGGTATGAAATGTGAACACCTTGTACAGATATTTTGATGGGCAGCGGAGGAAGGACAGCATGTTACTCTTACAGCAAACATTGGAGGGGCGGGCAAATAGCTGCAGTTATAAGTTACTATTTGCAATGATACAGAGAGACAGGGGACCGTCTTGACAATAATTAAGTTGTTATGGTACATTTCCATTGAGAAATACAATTTATATAACAAAAGAACATAAGGTAAAGTTAAAGTTAGGGAATTTGTAGGTAAAACAGTTAATTTATATTTCTATCTATCATTAAATTGTATTGGAATTATTCACTAAATTATGGAATCGTGAAGAATTGGCAGTGACAATAGCTGAGATTGACTATTTTAACAAAAATATTTGAAATGACCTAATGTTTCCTGAATAATTCTGAAACATTCTAGGATGGCTGGATTTTCATAAAACAAAACTCAATCCTGCTATGTTTATATAAAATGTCAATGCACCTGCATCACCAACTATGCGAGTGACCCATTCAACAGCAGAGCTCACACTCTGACTGTCAGAAATATCCACAATTGCTGTCTGCAGCCTGCTGGATGTCTCCTTCTTCAGATCCTCAGCCCCTTTCTCTGTCAGACAGGCTGCCAGCACCCGCATCCCATGCCGGTCCAGCTGCTTTGCCAGGACGTTCCCAAGTCCTGTGTCACAGCCAGTGATCAGCACATATTTATCCGAGAGATTTTCCAGTATCTGTTTCTGCCTGTGCCATCTGTACACGAGGATCAGCACCAATGCTACTACCAGCAGAGGGAGCCACATTGAGGAGGCAGAAGCTCTTCAGTGAAACAGGAACTGTATTGAGATAATTAACAAAAATCAACAGATACCCAAAACCACAAATAACATCCTCTATACAAGTGTGTGTTATATATGTAGAATCATTCCTTTTCCACCACCTAATAGAAAAAAAACAACATACTAATTAGCAACAAATCCAAAGTAATCAGTAGTACAGTTCCAACTATTGGTGAAATGTTGAGGCAGTTATTTATTGCTTTGCTACTGGTGTTGCCCCCTTTGGTGTTGCCCCCTCTCTACTCAATTGTACTTCGTGGAAGCGTAATGTAATCCATTGGTTAAAAACAAACAAACAAGCAATATAGGCGCAAAAAATATAAATGTATCAGTGCAAATATTAAGAATAAAGGTAGAGCAGCACCTAAAAGTGCACAAGCTCAAAAAACACCATACAAAGGATATAAAACAAAAAAAGGTGCGCTGTACCTTTAAAATTTAAAGTGCAACAAGTGCAAAAAAAATCGTGCAATGAAAAGTGTATATTCAATAAAATCACACTCAATATAATAAATGTGCAAAACTTGCAAGTGAAGAGTGATAAAAAAATATATAAATGGTCACTTACAGTAGGGAAATATGTCTCAATGTAAAATGCATATGGTATGGTACATAAAAAAGAGAGAAAGCATATAGCATAATACTGTTTTAAATAACATAAAAACAGCCAAGAGAAATGGAATAAAACTCACAAGGAAAGAGCAGTGAAAGTCTGCTCTAACTTTTCAGCATGTAATCCACAACACAGGGATTTGATGACAGTGAAGAGCAGGACGCCAGCTGAATCAAACGATATTTATTTCTTCCAAATAAAAAAACTCCTTTTCCCCCATTGAAGGCCAGTGTCCCATTAGATACTTGAAGAAATGAACACACCAGGGTTCACAATCTCTGCAACTAGCGGCACTATACAGGGCACTTCCAGGTTCGGAGCTCCGTGCGGTCACGTGATAACGTGATGACGTCGTATGCGAACGTGATGACGCGTTTCGCCCAGAAAAGGCTTCCTCAGATCACGTCCTAATACAGCTGGTCCTGACTTTTAAAGCCCACATTGTGGGCGTGAAATATGTAAATGAATGGCCAAAGTCTCATATGAACGGGGTAGATCCCCTAAATATCTATATAAAGAAGTCCCAAGCAGTAAATGGAATATGGCAAAAAAATATGGCAAAAAAATAATAATATACATAATAATAAAAGTACATACATGTCCCAAACAAAATCATGAAATGTCATAAACATATTAACTATACTAAACATATAAAATCTAAAAAGAAAGAATCCTCCATTAAAATACATAAATGCAATTGCACCTACTAATGAGCGGAAAGAAGAGAGAGTAATTATTCTCAGATAAAAAATTCATCTAAAATATAAAATCCACATAATAAAATTATATAAATCAAATTCAATATTAAGACCTTTTGGTTCAAGGGTCTCCAGTGTGTGAACCCACTTCATCTCTTCTTTTCCTATACATTGAATGAAGTTACCTCCTCGCCATGGTTTTTTAACAATTTGAATTCCTAAGAATGTGAGGCCACTAGGATCTTTATTATGATATTTTTTAAAATGAGCGGACACACTATGATGGTCTATGCCTTTTCGAATATTATTGACATGTTCATAAATTCTCTTATGTAAAGGGCGAATAGTTCTGCCCACATATTGGAGTCCGCATGGACATATTAAAAGGTATATAATGTTTTTAGTAAAACAAGTAATAAAATCCTTAATGATATATTCTTCTGTTGTATATTTTGTCTTGAATTTACTAATACCTTTTATAGTATTATTTTTGCTACATTTACATCCTACACATTTTCCACATGAATAGAAACCTTTTCTATTCACACTTAAAAACGTATCGGGTGCCTCCTTTCTTGGGTGATTGAAAGTCAAAATCTGCTTTAGGCTAGGTGCACCTCTAAAAGTGATAAAAGGTTTCTCTGGAATAATTACCGATAGTTCTCTATCCTTTTTTAGAAGGTGCCAATGTTTGTTAATAATAGATTTCACTCTTTTAAAATCCTGATTAAAATCTAAAACTAAAGGTACCTTATCAAATTTCCCTTGTATTTTATTGTAATTACTTTCTCTAAAAACCAATTGATTCTGCTCCAGGTCTTTTGTTTCCTCATATGCTCTACATAGTATGTCAGTGGGATATTGTTTTTGGGAGAATTTGTCTATTATTATTTTTGCTTGTTCTTCAAAAACATTCTGTTCGGTGCAGTTCCTTCTTATCCTTTGTAATTGGCCTTTTGGAATATTATTGAGCCAGGGGGTGTAATGCCCGCTATTATATAGTACATAGCTATTGGCATCTACTTTTTAAAAAAAATTTCACTATGTCACTTTTTGATTACCGGAATAATATGAAATGTGGTTTTGAAGATTTACAGAAAGTTGCATATGACAATGGTCATCTCTCCAGAAATGATGATATTGAGGTTACTTTCAATGAACTAGAAAAAATTCTAGCAAAAGAAATTAAATATAAGTGGGAGATTGCTACATTAGAGACATACCTGAGAGATAAAATCACCCCTAGGGGTCTCAGATTCTCCAAAACTCCTACATTTGAAAATGACAAAAATCAAAAATATGTCAATATGTGGAATGATGCACTTGAAAGATTTTCAATGGAGATGATGAACATAGTCATATTATGTAGAAGTGAGAATTTGGCAGACTTAGATAAGGAGGTTAAAGAAATACAGAAAGTATTGGAACCAGCAATTGAGACTAAAGACTATGAGGAATTGACCAAATCTACTAAAGCTAATCTCAATAAATTAGAAGATCAGGTGAAACAAATTAAATATAAAAAGTATAAAAGAGATATGGACGATTATAAGTATAAAAAAGTGAGAAATTATCAAAATAATTATACTGATCGAAGTAATAATAAATATGGGAATCGAAGATCAAATGATTATAATTCAAAGTATAATTTTAAACAAAATGGATACAATAGGAGGAGAATAGATAGTTTAGATACCCCTAAATGGGATAATCCTAAGTGGAGAACCCCTGAAGTCAATAAGGGGAATGAATGGAAGAAAGTAGAATTTAGGAATAGGCATCACAACAGATTCGATATAAATAAGAGTCCCCTATACAAAAATAGAGATCTATCACTATCAAACAGATATGAAGCTTTGTCACGAGATCAATCAGACTCTAGAGGAAATGATTTTTTAGGGAAAACAAGAGGAAAGGTTTCCTTTTCTCCCCTGAAAAGAAGAAGAGTCAGAGAGGATGCAGAGGAGGAACAAGACTACAACAGCGAAAAGAAAGGAAGAATGTCCAATTGGAGGGAGTAATTAATTTATCCAAATTTATCCCGAGTAAAGATGAAATTAGAACTCTGAATAAGGGTCTAAAATTTGCCCCCAGTAAAAAATTCAATTCCTTCTCAGCTTATGTAGATATATTGAAATACTCTAGAACGTTAACTTTAAAAAGATTTTTTGAGATTAATAAGTACATAGATACTAGAAAAAGTGAGAATCATACTGACTTAAAAAATAAATCAAATTTCTATCCTAGAAATTATCGTACAAGTGCTATAGATATTTTTGAAAAATCTGTTATTGATGATTTTGACAAATTAGGGAAATGTAATCATAAATATAATTTAAGTTTTAATGAACATAAGGCCCTACAAAATCTAAGAAATAATAAAGAAATAATAATTAAGCCCACTGATAAGGGGGGCAGTATTGTGATCCAGGATACTATTAATTACCTAAAGGAATGCCATAGACAATTAGAGGACAAAAGGATATATAAGGTATTAAAAAAAGATCCGACATCCGATATAAAATCTTCACTAGAGATTCTTTTAAAAAGAGGAAAAGACGAAGGTATTTTAAATGATAATGAATATAAGTTTCTATCAGTTGAATTCCCTAGAGTGCCTGTATTTTATACCCTGCCTAAGGTGCACAAAAATTTAGAGAATCCCCCAGGTAGGCCAATTGTGTCCGGTATTGGATCCATTTCAGCTAATCTTTCAAAATATGTGGATATTTGGCTACAAAATTTAGTTAAAGAAATGCCATCATACCTCAAGGATACCACAGATGTAATTAAAATTATAAAAAATATTAAATGGGAAAATTGATTTTTTCTAGTAACTTCAGATGTAACTGCACTTTATACCTCTATTTCTCATGAGAAGGGATGTAAAATGATTCAAGAATGTCTAGAAAAATCAAGTAATTTTAATAATACACACATTTTATTTCTTATAGATAGTATCAGATGGATTTTAGAAAATAATTATTTTAATTTTAATTCTAAATTTTATCTACAACTACAAGGTACGGCTATGGGGACCAGGTTCGCCCCTAGTTACGCTAATTTATTTATGTCAGGTTGGGAATCGGAAGTTATTTATAATAGCCATAATTGGGGGACGAATCTGGTCTCCTACCATAGATATATCGATGATATATTTTTTATATGGAAGGGCACACAATTGGATTTAGAACTTTTTTTAACAAGTATCAATTCAAATGAGTGGGGTTTACATTTTAGCAGTTCTTTTAGCAGTCAAAATATTCAATTTTTAGATTTGGAAATTTATGAAGAAGCCGGCATTTTAAAAACAAATTTTTTTTTTAAAAAGTAGATGCCAATAGCTATGTACTATATAATAGCGGGCATTACACCCCCTGGCTCAATAATATTCCAAAAGGCCAATTACAAAGGATAAGAAGGAACTGCACCGAACAGAATGTTTTTGAAGAACAAGCAAAAATAATAATAGACAAATTCTCCCAAAAACAATATCCCACTGACATACTATGTAGAGCATATGAGGAAACAAAAGACCTGGAGCAGAATCAATTGGTTTTTAGAGAAAGTAATTACAATAAAATACAAGGGAAATTTGATAAGGTACCTTTAGTTTTAGATTTTAATCAGGATTTTAAAAGAGTGAAATCTATTATTAACAAACATTGGCACCTTCTAAAAAAGGATAGAGAACTATCGGTAATTATTCCAGAGAAACCTTTTATCACTTTTAGAGGTGCACCTAGCCTAAAGCAGATTTTGACTTTCAATCACCCAAGAAAGGAGGCACCCGATACGTTTTTAAGTGTGAATAGAAAAGGTTTCTATTCATGTGGAAAATGTGTAGGATGTAAATGTAGCAAAAATAATACTATAAAAGGTATTAGTAAATTCAAGACAAAATATACAACAGAAGAATATATCATTAAGGATTTTATTACTTGTTTTACTAAAAACATTATATACCTTTTAATATGTCCATGCGGACTCCAATATGTGGGCAGAACTATTCGCCCTTTACATAAGAGAATTTATGAACATGTCAATAATATTCGAAAAGGCATAGACCATCATAGTGTGTCTGCTCATTTTAAAAAAATATCATAATAAAGATCCTAGTGGCCTCACATTCTTAGGAATTCAAATTGTTAAAAAACCATGGCGAGGAGGTAACTTCATTCAATGTATAGGAAAAGAAGAGATGAAGTGGGTTCACACACTGGAGACCCTTGAACCAAAAGGTCTTAATATTGAATTTGATTTATATAATTTTATTATGTGAATTTTATATTTTAGATGAATTTTTTATCTGAGAATAATTACTCTCTCTTCTTTCCGCTCATTAGTAGGTGCAATTGCATTTATGTATTTTAATGGAGGATTCTTTCTTTTTAGATTTTATATGTTTAGTATTGTTAATATGTTTATGACATTTCATGATTTTGTTTGGGACATGTATGTACTTTTATTATTATGTATATTATTATTTTTTTGCCATATTTTTTTGCCATATTCCATTTACTGCTTGGGACTTCTTTATATAGATATTTAGGGGATCTACCCCGTTCATATGAGACTTTGGCCATTCATTTACATATTTCACGCCCACAATGTGGGCTTTAAAAGTCAGGACCAGCTGTATTAGGACGTGATCTGAGGAAGCCTTTTCTGGGCGAAACGCGTCATCACGTTCGCATACGACGTCATCACGTTATCACGTGACCGCACGGAGCTCCAAACCCGGAAGTGCCCTGTATAGTGCCGCGAGTTGCAGAGATTGTGAACCCTGGTGTGTTCATTTCTTCAAGTATCTAATGGGACACTGGCCTTCTATGGGGGAAAAGGAGTTTTTTTATTTGGAAGAAATAAATATCGTTTGATTCAGCTGGCGTCCTGCTCTTCACTGTCATCAAATCCCTGTGTTGTGGATTACATGCTGAAAAGTTAGAGCAGACTTTCACTGCTCTTTCCTTGTGAGTTTTATTCCATTTCTCTTGGCTGTTTTTATGTTATTTGAAACAGTATTATGCTATATGCTTTCTCTCTTTTTTATGTACCATACCATATGCATTTTACATTGAGACATATTTCCCTACTGTAAGTGACCATTTATATATTTTTTTATCACTCTTCACTTGCAAGTTTTGCACATTTATTATATTGAGTGTGATTTTATTGAATATACACTTTTCATTGCACGATTTTTTTTGCACTTGTTGCACTTTAAATTTTAAAGGTACAGCGCACCTTTTTTTGTTTTATAATCCATTGGTTAGTTGGTACTTATTTGTCTACTTTTTTGGTAATGTTGTGCTACTGAACACTTTATTACAAACTGATTATTTACTTTTTATTTATTCGTCTACTTTTGTGGTAATGTTGAGTTATTGAACATTTAAATATGAAGACTAGCTACTTTGTATTTGTTTGGACATACATAGGTCTGGTATGGAAACTGGTTTTTACTAAAAACATTTTTCTTTGGATATTATATGTTATTATACATGTGTTGGAATGCAAATAAAGATTATAGTTTTAAATATATAGCTTGTGCTGTTATAGTGTTCCAAATATTGGTGAAATCTTGCTCTAATTCAGTGTTTCCCAATTAGTGTTCCTCTGAATCCTGGGAACCACTGCTCTAAGGTAACCATTTAGTCAATCCGTGAGAATTCAGTGAGAAACAATTTGAATAAATTCATTAACAGGGTTACTCACTAAAGTGACAATTGCTAGGATATTTAACATGCACCAAAAAGAGCTTGCATAAGTGATGTAATAAAGATAGTGAGTTATATAATACTGGTGAATGCTGCCACTCACTGGACCACTCCCATATAGATACCCAAAAAAACAATAAACAAACACCAGAAGGCACCAAAATACCAGTATGATAGTTAATACATACCAAAGGGTAAGAATGATTTAATTATTATTATTATTGGTATTTATATAGCGGCAACTAATTCCACAGGGCTTTACAATATTATGAAAGGGGGGAAATTTTACAATAAATGAGACAACACAATTACACAAGAACAATAGGTAGATGAGGGCCCTGCTCAAATGAGATTACAGTCTAGAGGAGGTGGGGTACAAATACACAACAGGGCAGCAAGGGGGAAAGCAACCAAACAATATGGGAAAGTAGCTGAACTGGAAGTGAAGGTGGAGTGTGTCTTTTTAGAAGAGCAAGAGACAGATTTTGATAAGTATAGATAATTTACTCTGGGAATCCATAGGCATTTCTGAACAGATGTGTTTTGAGGGACTTCCTAAACAATTGAAGACTAGGGGAGAGTCTGATGGCAGTAGGTAGGCTCTTCCAGAGAAAGGGAGCCGTCCACGAGAAGTCCTGCAAGCGCATGTTTAGCAGTAAGGGTGCGAGCAGCAGACAAGAGAAGGTCATGGGCAGAGCGGAGAGTCCGAGAAGGGGCATATCTATGAAGTGAAGAAATGTAACATGGGCTTGAGTTGTTTAGAGCTTTATTGGTAAGGGTTAATATTTTGAATTGACACCTATAGGATTCAGGAAGTCAGTGTAAGGATCGACAGAGAGGAAAGGTAAGGGAGGAGTGACAGGTGAGAAAGATCAGTCTGGCGGCAGCATTCATTACATATTGTAGTGGGGCAGTTCGGCTTTAGGGGAAACCAGTTAGGAAAGAATTACAGTAATCCATGCAAGAGATTACTAAAGCATGAACAAGCTCCTTGGCAGCATCTTGCGTGAGAAAGGGGTGGATGCGGGCAATGTTTTTAAGGTGAAATCGACAGGTTTTAGCAGGATATTAGATATGAGGTGCAAAGGTAAGGATCAAAGATAACACCAAGGCAACAAGCTTGAAAGGATGGACCATCAACAAGTACCATCAACTTGCAGGGAAAGCGAAGGAGGAGAATCCACCTTTAGGAGGAAAAATAAGAATCTCAGTTTGAGAAATTGAGTTTTAGAAAGTGGGAGGACATCCAGTCAGAGATTGAAGAAAGGCAAGCAGTGAAACGTTGTAGGACTGTGGGTGAGAGATCAGAGGAGGAGAGATATAGTGGAATCCATATATAGTGGAATTCAAGGGAACTAATGAGTTTGCCAAGAGATGCAGTATAAAGAGAGAACAAAAGAGGACAAAGAACAGATCCTTGGGGTACTCCATCCAAGACAGGACAAGGGGAGGAGGTGTCATTGCAAAAGGAGAAACTGAATGAACATTGGGAGAGATAGAAGGAGAACCATGAGAGGACAGTGTCACAGAGACTGAGGGATTAAAGTGTTTGGAGAAGGAGGACATGATCAACAGTGTCAAAGGCGGCAGAGAGTTAAAAAAGAATTGGTATGGAGCATTTGGGTGGCCTTTGGATTTAGCTGTGATTAGGTAATTTGTAGCTTTAATAAGAGCAGTCTCAGTAGAGTGGAGGGGGCGGAAGCCAGATTAAAGAGAATTGAGGAGGGAGTTGGAATTTAGGAAGTGAGCCATAAGAGTAGAGACAAGTCTTTCTAGAAGCTTTGAGGAAAAAGGAAGCAGGGATATGGGTTGATAGTTTGAAGGGGAAGACTAGTCTAGGCATGGTGTTTTTTAGGATGCGTACGACAGTAGTATGCTTAAGAGGAGCAGAAACAACACCAGATGAAAGAGAACAGTTGAGGATGTGTGTTAAGGATGGTACAAGACAAGGGGAGACAGATCTGATAAGGTAAGAAGGGATCAAGCGGGTGGGTGGTGGGACAAGAGGAGAAGTGCAGCCACCTCCTGTTCTGTAGTTGGGGAGATGGCATGAAAGATAGGGAAGGTATGGTCCAGGTGTGGTTGCAAGAAAGAGGAGCAAAGGGGGGAGAATTATTTCCTTAACTGTTCAATCTTGTCGGTAAAGTAGCATATAAGGCGAAGGAGAGAGTTGTAGGTATTTAAGAGACACCTGGGATTGCATGATCTAATAAGGGAGGAAAAGTGACGGGAGCATCTCTGCAGGTAGCGGAATGGGTCAATAAAAGTCAATAGGAAACATAGAAACGGATAAGAAAAAAAAATCATGGCACAAAAAATGTATTTAAAAAAACACAAATAATAATAAAAATACACAAAAAACAACACTCAAATACATGAATAATGTGCAAAATGAGCATAGACCTAATAAGCCCCCCCACATAACAAGTCCATCACAGGCAGGAAGGAGATCAATGAATAAAACCAATCGTTGTGACTCCAAAGATTCTAGGTACTCCCCTGAAGCGGATTTTTAGGTGGGCACAAATTAGGATGCTCTGTCAAGCTTGTGCAATAAATAGAAATATTCTGCTCGATGCGTTTCATGCCTAAGAAAACCAGACGTCTTCAAAAGCTGCGATACTGCAAATTTTCAAGGATTTAAATACTTGAAAATCACACCACAGGTCAAGCTCATTAGCCCAGTCATTTTTATTATTATCCAGGTGTCCTTTTTTTGTAAATGGATTTGACCCGTAGATTCTGCCATTTTTGCAAGATTTTTGACACTCTCATTGATTTCCAAATAATTCTTACGTTGCAATTCCAAATTGACATCAAGCAGACCTTTAAGTTCAGTTTGCCTTGAGACAGCCCCAACCATCTTCCAGAATTAGTACCCAAATAGAGAATTATACTAATTAAACTATAATAATAATAATATGATTTAACTACAACTATAACTTTTTAATAAAAATAATTAAACTTGTTTACATGATTGATTGCAGCCTCTTGAACAATTTAGACTAGACTACAAGATCATTATATAAAGACATATTCACAAAACCTTTCTTCTGTTTTTATATATTTTTTTTTTTTTTACTACGGTTCCACGCCTAATATCACATTCAAGTACTCAGCAGGCACAATCTGCACATTGTATGGAGATTTTGTCACAGAATCAGAAAAGAGTTATCATTTACCTTTTGATTTGCTAAGGTGTTTGGGATTTCCTTTCTTTTAGTGGTTGGAGAGAAGGTTTTTAGAAGAACATAAATGTTATTGTCAAGATTAACATTAGAATATTGCACTTCACGCTCAACCACCTTAATAGTCACCAGAACAACTACAGCTCAATGTAGTTGTTCTGGTGAGTATAATCATTCCATGCAGAGAAAAGGCAGTGTTTACATTGCCCCTTAGGGACACCTCCAGTGGCCACTCCTCAGATGGCCACTGGAGGTTCTTTGTGGGGCAATGCTGCACAGTGTGCAGCACTGCCATTCAGTGTCCCCACCCTCTGCATGGAGATGCTGAATTTTTCTCATAGAGATGCATTGATTCCTATGGGAAAGCATTGGATTGGCTGAAATCATAAATTCTGAGCATGTCAGCAAGGGGGCAGATTGGGGGCGGGGCAGTAATGTATCACATCTTATCAAATTGGATAACTTGAGTGTTTATATCTGCATGGTCCTGAATAAATAAAATGCATACCTTTGTACCATGTGCAAAAATAATAAAGTAGAAAAAAAAGTAGAAAAAAGCAATAAAATATGTTACAGTGTCCTGTATTAAGTAGCAATAGATGAAGAACTCACACACCATAGACAGATAGTGGAAGGCTGTAGGTAATTTATTAAGATATATTGAAGCTCAGCTATGTATTATACTGGAGGACCCTTTACCCCTTAAGGATACAACTTCTAGAATAAAAGGGAATCATGATGGACTATGTCCGTCATGTGTCCTTAAGGGGTTAATAAGATATGTCACTTAATGCATACAGGAACTATGGGAAATTACTAGCCAGGCTGTACACAGAGGGTGGGTTTTGAATGCAAGTGAAATTTGTCAGTGAGGTGAATAAGATAAACGAGTTAAACAAGCTGGGTGTGAACTTAGCAAATTGTTCCTTTTTGTGTATACACAGCTAAGAACAAGCTCTGCAAGATTTTTTTTGTGTGAATGATGTAGGGGCTTCAGACAAACAATTGCTAATGTGAAAACTCCACACCACTTTTCTAAGCAAAGATTGTCTACATTGCACAACTATCTCTTCTAATACCATATTAGCAAAAAAAAAAGAAGACAGACTTGCTTAGTGCTCTAGTGCCACCAAAACATTTAATAAAGGGAAGGAATAGACAAATAGCCTTAGGTGTATGTGCCCATTTGTTTGTTTATTCTCTTTCCTCCATCAAATGTTTGTGTTGCACTAGTCCACCTAGCAAGTTCCATTTTGCGCCTCTGTATCCTTTGTATTACAACTTTGGATTTCTTTGTATACTAGTCTAAGCAAGCACTGTTTTGGACCAACGGCAGAACTTTCCATGGTGCAGCTGTACCAGGGACCATAAGTACGAGATTAACTTATGGGCATCTCTGATCAGGGGGCAGGTCATGTACCACGGCCCTTTACGAGACTGGGCCTCTGTTAAATCGGCAGTTAAACTGCTGTGTTGGTAGGAGTGAGTTTAGTTCACCTATTCCAAACTTACATAGCGTCAAGAGTAAAGAGGAGAGAGCGGGGAAAGAGACAGCCTAAAACTCCCATTAGCGTCAGCCAGCACTGTCTGTACCCAGATCCCACTGGACCTCAGGGAAGCCACTCTCCTGCACTCAAAAGGTATGAAAACAGGAGGGTGACTAAAATATGCAAATTATGATTTGCATTTGTTTGTATATTTGTGTGTCTGTATGCAAGTTGTGTGTATTTGTTTATCACAGTGTCTCTATGTGTGTGGCAGTGTAAATGTTTATTTTAGGTAATTTAAGTAGAAATACACATATAACTAATGATAGTTGGAAACAGGGGAGATCCTAAGGTCACAGACTCCTGGGTGCAGATTTGTTGGGGGGCACTCCAGGTGAGCGTGGTCATCTTACTAACTCCTCCCCTTTTCAGATATCCAGTCCTAACACGCATGTTTGTATGGCAAAGACTCCACCTCTCCATCTATGAGCGCCACCACTTTTTGTAATCATACACACACTTTTACTGACAGACACACTTACTGACATACACACAGACACACACTCTCAGTAACAGACACAATCTCACTGATTTGAAACACACTCACACACACAGGGCAGGTGCCACCGTTAGGTGAACTAGGCATTTACTGGGATATTTCCCTCACCCTGTGCCATTCCTCCAGGTGCCCGAAGGTTGAGGCGCGCGGAGGAGCCCTGTCACAGTATGGCAGAGCAGGCACCTTCTTACCTTGTTGAGAGGTGACTGCTCTGCCATCAAATGCTGGTGACTGGAGGAGAGGGGGACGGAGCAGGAAGGCTGCGAGGGAGGCTCTTCTTGCAGCCTCTCACGCCTCCCCCATGCGTCCTCTGTGATGTCTGGAGCCAGAATATGAAATCATTCCGGCCCGGCATACTAAACGACGGGCAGGAGGAGTCAGGAGCTCCCCCACACTGGACCACAGGGAGGTGAGTGTTTGTCAGTCAGTGTGTGTGTGTGTCTGTCAGTGAGTGTGTGTGTGTGTGTCTGTCTGTCAGTGAGTGTGTGTGTGTGTATGTCTGTCAGTGAGTGAATGTGTATGTCTGTCGGTGAGTGTCTGTGTGTGTGTGTGTGTGTGAGTGAATGTCTGTCACTAAGTCTGTGTGTTTGCGTAAGTGAGTGAGTATATGTCTGTCAGTGGGTGTGTGTGTGTGTGTGTGTGTCTGTCTGTCATTGAGTGAATGTATGTCTGTCAGTGAGTATCTGTGTGTGTGTGTCTCTCAGTGAGTGTTTGTGTGTGTGTGTGTCTGTCAGTGAGTGTCTGTGAGTGTATGTGTGTGTGTCAGTGAGTGAGTGTATGTCTGTCTGTCAGTGAGTGTGTGTGTGTCAGTGAGTGAATGTCTGTCAGTGAGTTTCTGTGTGTGTGTCAGTGAGTGAGTGTATGTCTGTCTGTCAGTGAGTGAGTGTATGTCTGTCAGTGTCTGTGTGTGTATGTCTGTCACTGAGTGTCTGTCTGTGTGTCTGTCAGTGCGTGAGTGTATATCTGTCAGTGAGTTTCTGGGTGTGTGTGTGTGTGTCTGTCAGTGAGTTTCTGTGTGTGTGTGTGCCAGTGAGTGGGTGTATGTGTGTCAGAGTGTGTGTCTGTCAGTGAGTGTGTGACATGAAGGGGCGGCAAAATTGATCTTTGCCTAGGGCAGCAGAAATCCTTGCACCGGCCCTGCACACAGACTCACTGACAGACACACACACTGACAGATACACTCACTGACAGATGCACACTCTCACTGATTTGAAACACTCACTGACAGACACACAAACTGACAAACAGTCACTGACAGACACTGACAGATACATACATTTTTTTGTGGTTTTATTTGTTTTAGGTCCTCTCCTCTCAGCACCCCTTGGTTGAAAATAATTACTATAGATATACTGAAATCTATAATACTACAGTTTAATATACATATAGGAATATAAGCATATCCTGTCCTAATGTGTTTTACACCCCACCTCCTATAGAATGTAAGCTCGATTGAGCAGGGTCCTCTTCAACCTATTGTTCCTGTAAGTTTATTTGTAATTGTCCTATTTATAGTTAAATCCCCTCTCATAATATTGTAAAGCGCTACGGAATCTGTTGGCGCTATATAAATGGCAATAATAATAATAATAATAAGCATCTTTTCAAAAGGGCAATTCTACATTTACGCTGTTTTATGTTTTATGTTCTTGTTTTTGTTCTTTTATTTATTTAATTTTTTAATCATTTTTTATTGCAGAGAACATAATTCTGCTTCACTTCTAAACTAGGCCTTATTATCACTAAGCAGTAACTGGATCAGACATTCCTGCACAGTGTAAACAAGCGATTAGTCAGTTTAATAGTTCACAATTCTCAAATAATTCATAATAAAATGTTTATGTATTTCCTGTTATTGTTGTGCTAAAACAGCACAATACCAAAGTGTTTATATTGTTTCCATTTCTTTAACTCTTTGTTACCTGATGTACACTGTTTAGTTAAATATTTAATTTTTTAGTAGGCCTTGCTAATCATTATCGCTTTATCACCTAACACACATACCTTTGAACTGTCTAGGTCACGGATAAACAACCTTCGGCACTCCAGATGTTGTGGACTACATCCCCCATAAATGCTCTTACACCCATAATGCTGGCAAAACATCCCGGGATGTGTAGTCCAAAACATCTGGAGTACCGAAGGTTGCCTATGCCTGGCCTAGGTTCTATCATAATTGGTACAGTTTGTGCATTCAATTCTGCAATTGTTAATTGATTTTCTAAATATGTCAATCTATGTCTTATTTGTTTAATTTATTTTTAATGTCTGGAGACTAATTGTTTGATTTTTGCTTCTTTGTTTATAAATAGTGTTACCTTGTTATAAATACATTTTGCTTTCTTTCTTTAGAAATTGATTCTACTTATTTGTGATTATTGTGCACAAGGCTACACCTGTTTATCAATACTTGTACAATTTCAATACATAATTCAGATTTGTTTCCCATAATGGGCATCCCAGAATTCAAAGACTAAACGCAAACACTACACTCAAAACCCCACCCAACTGCATTCAGATGCAAATACTTTTTGTGAACACTACAAACAATGACAAACACCAATACTACACAAAAATATTTCCTTGCATTTAAATACAAACATTACACACAAATGCATGTCTACATTCACATATACTCCAAAAATATGCTTACATTCAAACACGCAGACACTGCTCATAAAAACAACCCTGGAAGGATGGGCAAATGGTAGATCCCCAGCTTGCAAAGTATTGTAGGAGTTGTATGGCAGTTAATGATATACCTTTTATCCAACATTACTCCAGGCCTCCCAACACTACCGCTGTTGGTGGGACAGTCATGATTTTGGGGTCTGTCCCACTGTCCTGCTATATTTCCCTGGTGTTTTGCAATAATAGATATTTGCATCTGCAATCTTGGATACACAAAGCAAGTTGATGATAGGGCAAAATAGAATCTGTGCTTTAAAATAATTTTACTCTTTTTTTTTTGTCATTTTTGAAAGCATTACACCAAGCACAATTAGCACATCAGTGTTTTGAAGTGGTGATGGTGCTTAGTGTCTGTATGTGCAGCATCAGAAAGAAGGGTGGTGTACCTACACAGTCTGAAATTGGAGTCAAAGATGCATGACTTATTGTTAAATCTCAGAAATAATGGACTGATCACTGCCAGACATAGTACTGGATTAATAAAATGCCTCAATCAGAAGGCAAAAAATAACTAAATTTTATTAAACAAAAACCTTATGACAAGGATAATGTGTGGTGAATGTGCCTGTGTACAAACTATTAACAAATAATGGGTATTAGAAATCTATACCCTGTTAAAAAATACCTAGTGGTAAATAAAAAATCACAATGTAAGCTATGGTATATTCTATAATTGTATGCAACAACCGCTAACAAAAAACTAGGATATGGTCTCTAATTATGTGCGACAACCGCTTACAAAAATAAATGAACTGTCAAGACTATCTAATCTAACTAACAATTTGTTACCAAAAAAAACAGAACTGATAAGGACTGCACAGGTAGATTGGCAAGTGTGGCCAACTTGGGGTTACCCCCTGTTTCTTTAGTGTACCTAATTTTTACTTGGGGTTACCCCCCGTTTCTTTAGTGTACCTAATTTTTGGCTCTATCTTTGTTTTTCTTCTGGCAATCCTGTATGTGTAGCATTTCACCATTAAATTCTACACATACTGAAACATTTCCATGTTCCTGCTGGAGGTGTAACTTAAAGGACCACTATAGTGCCAGGAAAACATACTCGTTTTCCTGGCACTATAGTGCCCTGAGGGAGCCCCCACCCTCAGGGTCCCCCTCCCACCCGGCTCTGGAAAGGGGAAAGGGGTAAAAACTTACCTTTTTCCAGCGCTGGGCGGGGAGCTCTCCTCCTCCGATCCTCCTCCGTCGCTAATAACGCGCGCCTGTGAAAATCACAGTGAGAAGCAGCAAGCGCCTCTAGTGGCTGTCAATGAGACAGCCACTAGAGGCTTTGGGGGAAGGCTTAACCCATTAATAAACATAGCAGTTTCTCTGAAACTGCTATGTTTATTAAAAAATGGGTTAACCCTAGAAGGACCAGGCACCCAGACCACTTCATTAAGCTGAAGTGGTCTGGGTGCCTAGAGTGGTCCTTTAAACTCTGATTGCATCACTGGCCAGGCTAGAACTAATAATTTATATGCATATTATTTTAATAAACCATTATTAATTGACTGAGAGCACTCAGTTAAAGGACCACTATAGTGCGAGGAAAACATACTCGTTTTCCTGGCACTATAGTGCCCTGAGGGTACCCCCACCCTCAGGGACCCCCTCCCGCCCGGCTCTGGAAGGGGGAAAGGGTTCAAAACTTACCTTTTTCCAGCGCTGGGCGGAGAGCTCTCCTCCTTCTCTCCTCCTCCGTTCCTCCTCCTGGGCTGAATGCGCATGCGTGGCAAGAACTGCGCGCGCATTCAGCCCGTCGCATAGGAAAGCATTTACAATGCTTTCCTATGGATGCTGGCGTGCTCTCACTGTGAAAATCACAGTGAGAAGCACGCAAGCGCCTCTAGTGGCTGTCAATGAGACAGCCACTAGAGGATTAGGGGGAAGGCTTAACCCATTAATAAACATAGCAGTTTCTCTGAAACTGCTATGTTTATTATAAAATTGGTTAACCCTAGAAGGACCTGGCACCCAGACCACTTCATTAAACTGAAGTGGTCTGGGTTCCTAGAGTGGTCCTTTAACACTCTCAGCCAGTGAATGACCGGTGGGACTGACATCCGTCTTCTACAACTTTTCAGAGCCTTGATGTGTGTCAACTGACATTAGACGAGGCTCAGCACCAAGTAGGCCCCATGTTAGAGTTTGCCCCAATACTGATGAACAGGGCCAGGGTACTAATAGCATCATAGCAATTACAACAGAACTTGGAGTAACTCTATAAGTAGATTTTCTGGGAGCAAAATCTTACAGAATATTTTATTTTATATTTCAGTGCACCTTGTTACATGCTAGTGCCCACAATAATTTATTTCCACATGTAGGCTGTAATTACATAGCAATTTAGACTTTTGCCACAGGGATACTTTCACCTGTTACTTACAAAATACAAATAATTATTTCCATATCCATCTAGGTGTGCCCAAGGGAAGAGTCCCTATTTGAAGAATGGTTTAACCCCTAAAGCCAAGCCTCCTAGTACCATAACAACTTGATTTTGATGACGCTGTTATGGTACCCAAACTTGTCCTTTTAAAGGATCATTTTCTCTTTGTGCATATTCTAATGTAAGGTGCTGCACATCACTGCAAAAAGAAAATGCAATACATACACATTTACAATTGTGATGAATTATAACAATTAGTATATATTGTAACGGCACCCCAGGCATAAATGGGTTACACCGCCGTTTAGAAGATCTTCCCCTTCCAGAGACACAGGCAGCTACTGTAGACACCAATCCACCGAACCGGAGAAGCATATGAATGCTGTAAACAGCTGAATAGGAAAAACCATACGAATAGGTTTACACTCCTAGCAGTCGAACTGGAACAGCATACAATAAATCCCCCCAAGAACGAGACAAAGCTCCGTGTTGAGGGTCAAGCAGTGAACAGTCAGAGCTGTGGGTTTATTGTGCTTATGTACACATTCTTACACATTAGTACCACCTACAGGGTATTGGAACACAACCAATAAACACATACAATACACTCAGACACTCCCACATAAATTCCTCCCCTCTGCCTGTGATACAATTACCTCACACAATGGGTAATGTAATTATAACAAGCAGAGAACTACAATTTTTCCACATTATTCATAACTTGAAAAGTATGCATCACATTCACATAAAAATTTTTTCAGAATCCGCATACTCCAAATACAAACATATGTCAAAATCATCCAAATTGGTCCAGTGGTTCAAAAGATAGATCGTAGTCCTTTGTGACCAAAGGAAGCATGGTTTTTCTGCCCAAAACCAGTTCCACAGAGTCTTCTATCCTGGAGATAATTGGGAAGTAATCCAATTATCTCCAAAGACAGAGGCAAAAATCCATTCGACACATGGCAGCAAAAGACAATAAAACACATAAAAACACATAACTGTACAGCCATTGCACAAAACAGGTACATTCAACATATCCCCAGATAGCTCAGATCTGAGTGCACATTATTACTGAATGGCACTCAGAGCACACACATACAGTTCAATTGCCATGGAGCCAAAGTCTTTCCCATAGTCTTTCATGGCATAGCTATCTGGCGTATCACCGCTCAAACAGGGCAAGCACCAAATGACCCGGCTTTCATGTCTTTGCAGGGGAAAATCAAGCCTTTGAACATGGGGCCATAATCCAAAGGCAACAGGCGAGCAACCAGGCTTCTCCAATGCAATCTGGCGAGATTGGTCTCGTCACATATATGTTTCATGGTATTCTCTAATTGTGTAAATTAAATGAAACATATAATGCTTTTGAGGTAAAGAAAAAAAAATTAATCATACATTCTTCTGAAAATCAGTCCTGTTTTAAATTTTCATTATTTCATGTGGATATTGACATTTATATTTATGTAAAATTCCTCCAGAATTCTAACAACAACAAGAAAAACACTTTGCATGATTTACAGTGTCTATGGTTTGTGGCCTGTAGAGATCTTTAAAGGACCACTATAGGCACCCAGACTACGTCAGCTTAATGAAGTGGTCTGGGTGCCAGGTTCAGCTAGGTTTAACCCTTTTTTCTATAAACATAGCAGTTTCAGAAAAAACTGCTATGTTTACATTAGGGTTAATCCAGCCTCTAGTGGCTGTCTCATTGACAGCCGCTAGAGGCGCTTCCGCGCTCCTCACTGTGAAAATCACAGTGAGAAGATGCCAGCGTCCATAGGAAACATTGTGAATACTTTCCTATGGACATTCACCCGAAGAGGAGGAGAGGAGGCGGAGAGGAGGAGGAGAGCTCCCCGCCCGGTGCTGGAGAAAGAGGTAAGTTTAACCCCTTCCTCTCCATCCAGCCCGGTGGCAGGGGGTCCCTGAGGGTGGGGGCACGCTCAGGGCACTATAGTGCCAGGAAAACGAGTATGTTTTCCTGGCACTATAGTGGTCCTTTAATCACAAAATCTACATTTAAAATATAAAACAATATTACGGACTAGTGATATTTGCATTTTATTTGAAATAAACGCTTCACTGGTTACTATTTGCTTTGGACAAAATTAATATTGTTAAAGAGAAACTGTCACTTCGCTGTACAAAACACCAAAATACACCTATAACTTGAGTAAACCTTTCTTATGAGATGTGCTCTTCTTTTAAATATATATTAAATATTTAGCAAATCACATCATACTCCAGTTCAGACAGAAAGCTAGGGCAAACATTGCAAAGGAAGGGGAGAAATAGAAACGTTGTTCCAGTTCTCCTCCACTCTGTATGCTTTCGCTATGCTGAGTACCAGATGCAAAGGACAGAAAGATTGAATGAGAGCTAAGATGGAGGCACCCAACTGCAGGTAAAGAGGAGGGGATTTCTATATTAATTTTATCTTTCACACCTCACAAATACCGATTTGTTAAATATAGGCATAAGTAGACATGATATTAAAAATCCTGGAAAATGACAATACATCTTTAAAGGCTATTACTAAACACCGGTTAAATAAACCAAGACTAATTATAAGTAAGAAGAAATCTCACTGTGATATATATCTATTCATCTGTCTCTTTTTAGATTTCTCATACCTTGAATACCTTGACTGAGAGAACGATATCTTAGATAGCTCATTCAGATGTAGCAATTTTCATGTGTAAATGTCCCTTCTTGAGCTAAATATACTGAGTGAAGAGAGCTTTTAAAGAACAATCGGTTACACCCACCATCTGACAGTCACTTCATGCAACACATAGAAATATTTACAATTGCATTTCTGAGTGTTACAACATGCTTTACATGTGATGTATATAGCTGTTACATAAGGGCAGATTATATCATGACATAGGTTAACAATGAAAAGCAAAAACATTAACTTGCAATGTGTGTAGGATAAGGTGTGTTAGGACGCCTGATAAGACTTAAGCTCTCTGTTAAACATTTAAGCACTTCTTAATAGTTGTGTTACGAATGAAACATGTTTTTATTATTTACTACAAAGTTTGCTTCAGAAAAATACCATGACAACCATTATTTTACCTTTTTTTTTAAATAAAAAAATAAGTTGATGTCCTGGACGATATGTGCATGTCCTTTTTTTTGTGCCCAACGGAACAGGTCAAGCTTTCATTACGTCACAAATGTGCCTCTGTGCATAAAAATTACATTTAAATTAATTAAAGATTTAATGTAATGTGTCACAAAACAGGCCCATGTATGATTCTTTAGAGAACCCCAAGGACACATTTTGAACACCTCCATAACACAGCATCTAGAAGACCCCCAAATGAAGCGGACTATAATTATGACACATGATATAGCAAATAGCACCCACATGAAACTGGTGAAACATATCACACTGTGCCCACGGAGATACAGCTCTCATATAACACACCAACCATGCCTATAGCACCCACGATACTAACAGCAACCATAACACACACAATACCAACATATATCACCATGGCACTCATTTTACATACAGAACCACGAATAACCCCTAATAGTATATACATTACAGATAGTAAACATTATTCATCCATATGGCACCCATATCACAGAGCACCAACAAGACCAAGTCACTCCCATGGCACCCACAAAGCACTAACAGGTTCTACCTGTATCACACCCTACAGTTTTTCCAATGGCAGCCAAATAATCTCTAACCAGTCATCTCCATGACTCCCAAATCTCACCCATCAATCATTTTTCCTCCAGTTCTACAACATCCTAGTGCGTCCACCTGTCAACTACATGGCAACCACGTTAATAATTATTCCTACCCCTGGCATCCACATCCCATATGGCATATTCAGAACATTCACAACAGGCAATATTAATTAGTCATTGTCACAACACCAATATCTCAAACTACATGGATTTATAATCCCTTTGTTACTGACAGCACTCACAAGTTATTTCAATTACACCCACATCACACGCAGAACAGCATCTCTGCCCAATGTCACTTGCATGACACATAGCACACATTTGTTGTTATGGCGTTCATGTCACAAATTGCACCAGCCATTCATCCATTTTGCACTCACATCACACACTGTTCCCACCACGTATTCCCATGCACCTATACGATACATAGTATAAACAATTTATCCACATGACATATAGAGAACGTATCAGTCACCCCTATAGCACCCACATCATGCACATAATCCATAATCGTGTGGGCGAGGGGGGCACTATAGGCTAGGAATACAATTATCACATCCTGTTCTGTTCTGCGGAGATGTCTGGCCTTGGCTTCTGGTATCCAGTACTCTTTTTACAATTCTTGTTTAGATTTTCTGGTTTTCTATTCTTTGTCTGGTTTTCTTTATGCTGGGTTTTCTGGGTTCACTCCTTTATTCAGTTTCTGGAATTCCCAGTCTCCTGGATTCCTTTATATGTTTGCTTTATGTTGCCACACCCTTTCCTTTTCCATTAATCCTTTTGTTTCAGTTAGTTCCTGCAGGCAGTTGCTTCATGTCCTCTGCCCCTTTCTTTGCAGGTAAGTGCTGTGTGTGTTTTATTATTGTTTATTTGGTCATGCATATCTAGGCAGATAGGACCCACTATAATTGGAGTACTTTGGCGCAGTGGTGGGCTGCATACATCTTGGCCATTTATGTATGTCTAAATATCCAATGTTTTACATATATAGTACTTAGTTATGTCTCGTCTTGTTTTGCCATGTATCTCTTGTCTTGTTTTATTTTGTCTTCCCAGTTCATGTACAGTCCTGTCCTGCCCTGTTCATGTTTCCCTCATGTCTTGTGTACATGTTCTGCGTTCTGCTTTCTGTCCTGCTCCGGTTCTGGGTTCTTCTAGTCTTGTCTTGTTTTCTTGTTAGGTGCCTGTTCTAGTCTTGCCTTGTTTCTGTACTGGATACATATCTGCTGCAGAGCCTTCCTACCCAGTTCCTGGGAGGTCTGCATAACATCAAGCTCCTATCTCTTGGGTTCCAAAGTAGCTGCATCAGGGCCCTGGTATGTGGCCGCACAAACGCTGGTGCTCAACACCAGGGGGCGTGTGGTTACCCTGCACCAGGCCCTGATAGTCCATTTCCACGCTGGGACTCCCATCATCATCAGGCACTCAGGAGTCCCGGTCTCTGTACCACCAACCGTGACAACAATTTTGTATTCCTAGCCTGTAGTTTCTTGTTAATCTGCTGTCAGGTGGCCACAAACTCCACAAGAATGGGATGCACCTCAATAATTATCAGTCTGCTGTGGCTATATAGTTTATGGAGGTTTGTTACCAGGAAATAGGGAGATGGTAAAGATTGAAATAAATTGATGGCTAAGGTAGCTTTGAATTATGTCTTAATTTTAAGATGGTTTGGCAGATTTCATTTAACACTCGCCAAAAATGCAACCTGATAAAGGTGTTTAAATTAATATAAAAATGCTTCCAAATGACTAAAATTTGACAAAAGCTAGTGAAAATGGTTATTACCAGTAATAGAATTGATATAGGTTTTACTAAACTGTGGATATATAGAACATTTTTAAATAAACATTTTCTTTTATTTAGAATTAGTGATGTCCCGAACGGTTCGCCGAACGGTTCGCCACAGACGGCGAACATATGCGCTGTTCGGTCTGCCCCCTATGTCATCATTGAGTAAACCAGCCAATCAGCAGCAGACCCTCCCTCCCAGACCCTCCCACCTCCTGGACAGCATCCATTTTACATTCATTGTGAAGCTGCATTCTTAGTGAGCTGTCCAGGAGGTGGGAGGGTCTGGGAGGGAGGGTCTGCTGCTGATTGGCTAGAATGTGTCTGCTGACTGTGAGGTACAGGGTCAAAGTTTACTCAATGATGACAAATAGGGGGCGGACCGAACAGCGCATATGTTTGCCGTCCGTGGCGAACCGTTCGGCGAACCGTTCGGCGAACCGTTCGGGACATCACTATTTAGAATATATGCTATAACTTGTTAAATTACACAAGCTCCAATAGGACCATGCATCCTGAAAACACTACAAGAAAAAATTATATTTACCAAATCATGGATACTTACATACCATAACATACCAACTGGAATAGTAGAAATCACTACACCGCCAAATAAAATACCTCGTTTTCAACAAGTTAGCAGAGTTTGACACAAACTACAGTTTTATGAACCTTTTATCAACTACGTATGATATTGGTACAAATTGAGAGACAACATTTTACTGCTTGTTGAACACTGAGTATTTTATTTGGTGGTCTAGTGATATCTACTATGCCAGTATCTGTGATTTAGTATAAATATATATATATTTTTTTTCCTTTAGTATTTTTCAAATGCGCAGTCCTTTTAGACCTTGTGTTATATATTTTTTAATAGTTTTTTTAACCTATCTGATACTGTTGCACTTATTTATATTATAGTATTATCAGCTTTTTATCAACTTTTTTTATAACCTTTGCTCCCCTTTGTGCTCCACCTCGTTTACCTATTTGCGTAACTTGTTGATTTAGTTCTCCATCTGAACTGGAATTACTTGTTACTATACTAAGTTTCTTGGTGGGTTAGAAAACCTTGCTGGTTGGAAAACTCTTGCTAAATATCATAAATTATCACACGTTTGAGTCTGTTGAATTGTCTAAATTAACTCACTGCACCTATATTATATTTTAAAGCTACTAAATGTTTACTAGAGAGCTCCTCTACAGATGAAATGTACAAAATAAATTTGTTTCTACAAGTAATTTCTTTTGTATTACATCATTCTCTACCCCTATTATAAATATGTCAGTTTTCACTGAACATAAATCTTTTTTTTAAATTTCTGAAATTTGCAAGTTTCTACAAAGTCACTAGCTTTGATTGTCTTCATTCAGCTCGTGTACAAACACATTATTATATTAATTCTTAGAGGTCTCGATTGAACATGACCTGTAACCATTTTATTTTGGTACAAATTGCTTTTCTGGGAATATTCCATTTATTAACATTGTGTAGATTTTGAGGCACAGAACAGAAACAAGTGGAGAGATTAAACATATTCTATCTTTATAACACATTCCATTAAAGGAATCAATTCATAAGTATATGCATATAGAGAATGAGCAACAACATAAACTAAAAAATATATATTTAATATAAGAAGATTTATAAACAACACTCCATAATCCATATAAATGCAATTCAATAATGATTATTTCCAAATGTTTTTTATTGTTTTAAATAATAATAATAAAAATAACAATTGTACATTTTTGTCAACGTTTTTAAAAGTCAATAACGTTTAAATAATATGGAATATGAACAGTGACATAATAGCAAGGATCTTTGTTATGGTTATATTATCAATACTATGAGTAAATCAAAGATAATAAATGAAGAACTACATAAAAAATAAAAACTGGAGAAAAATTAGTAAATTGTGCATCCATAGTGTAATATGTAATAAATAATGTAGAGAAAGGAAGAAAAAAAAATATTTTTTTTACATCATATATTTATATATAGTTACATAGTTACATAGTTACATAGCTGAAAAGAGACTTGCGTCCATCAAGTTCAGCCTTCCTCACATTTGTTTTTTGCTGTTGATCCAAAAGAAGGCAAAAAAAACCCAGTTTGAAGCACAATTTTGCAACAAGCTAGGAAAAAAATTCCTTCTTGACCCCAGAATGGCAGTCAGATTTATCCTTGGATCAAGCAGTTATTACCCTACATTGAAAGATTATATCCTTGAATATTCTGTTCTTGCAAGTATGTGGAAAAAAGGAGAAGGTACTATATAATATCCCAACCAAGACAAGAGAAAACGTGCCAAACACCCAACAGTGTACCTCACATACACCAATATAGTATGGACAAAAAAGTAAATCTATACTGTATGAAATACTAGTATAGATTAAAGGGGTAGCACAAAACATACAACCTGTAGATAATACAAAAACCTCCTTCACAAGATCTAAAATATAAGAAAAATCACATAATAGTGAAGCATGTACAAACAATATATAATTCACTCCCGGAGGTAGCGAACTTACAGGACCAAACTGTGGATCTGTGCTTGTCTCCCTTCCGTAGGGTATATGAATAACGATTCTTCTCTCAGGAAGCTTGTATATGCAGACCAAAGGTGTAAATGCAAGACACTCAATCCTCAAAAGGAAAAGAGGTATATAGAGCAGTATTGTAGATAAAAAATAATTTATTTATACAAAATGCACTTACATCAAGTGAAGCTCATAGCAGCATGTCACCACTAACAAGTGGTACCCAGGAGAAGGAGTCTCTCTGTAGCAGAATGTAAACATATATATATAAAAAAATGCTAAAAGACACACATAAAAAAACAAAAAAAGGAAGTAAATATATATAGGTTGATCAGTTAATATATATCCAACGCGTTTCGTCTTTTAAAAGACTTCTTCAGGGATAGAGGACTGAAAGTTCTTTTTCTTTATATAGCTCCAAAACTTGAAATTGCCGCGGGAAAAAATTCACTTCCGGGTTCGGACTTCTCTATTTTTGATTGGACACACATCGTAATCACTTCTGGTAGATGTAACTAGATGTTTCATTTCCGCGTTCCAAGCTGGAACGCATTACGTCCATAACGTACGGCTCTATGGCATGGACGGCACTTCCGCGTTCCACCGTGGAACGCACGGACAAACCCAGGCGCTCATGCTGCACTGGGAGCATCGAACGTCCCAGAGTGGGACACAGGGCAAACCATCCAATAACCACATACATACACAATAAAATCTAATGTACAAAACGAAATATGAATAAAAAATAATAATAACAATAATATACCTATCAATATACAAGTATCACCAAGGTACTATATGAAACAACAGCAAAAAATGAGAGATACATAATATAAAAAATGTATAAAAAAAAAAATACAAAAAAGGATGTATAGATATACATAGATCCATGTCCACATATACATCCATATATGGATAAAACTATACACATCCCTCTGTCTCAATAAAGATATATATACAGGGACATTGCAAACATAAAACATCAAACATATAAAATAAATAATTACAAAAGTCCCACCAAATCTATATCTTGGTTAAGGCCTCTCTTAAGAGTATTAAGTGTATAAATCCAAAAAGCCTACTTTTTGGCTAGATCATTAGTTCTATTTCCCCCTCTCCAATGTGGAGTTACTTGATCTATACCAATGGCAATAAAGGTAGACCAGTCAAACAGATCACAAGAATTACAATGATTTGGGACACTATGTTCCGTTTTTTGAGTTCTAATATTATTAAAGTGCTCACGGAGTCTAGTATGTAGGGTTCTGGTGGTTCTTCCTACATACTGAGCTCCACATCCACATTGTAAGAGGTAAATCACATGTGTGGATGTGCAATGTATAAATTTCTTAATATTATATGTTCGATTAGTATAAAATCCCACAAAAGAAGTAGATTTTCTTTTTTGGTAAATACATGTGGAACATGTTCCACACTTATGGAAACCTGGGGTTTTTGTGGAATGTAAAAAGTTCTTCGAATTTGGACCTTTAATCAATTTTGGTAACAAACTAGGTGCCAATTTATTTTTAAGGGTATCTGCCTTCCTATATATAACTACAGGCCTTTCTGGAATTTTATCTCCTAAGACATCATCTCTTTTTAATATGGCCCAGTGTTTTTTAAGAATTTTTTCAATTTTTTTGGCTTCAGAACTATACTTAGTAATGAACGCAAAATCTTTATACCCATGATTAATTTTATTTTTTTGTTTTAAACTTTTATCTATCAAAAATTCTGTACGATCTTTACCTTTTATTTTTGCAATATCATCTTGTATATGGTCTATATTATACCCTTTTTCCACATATCTATTTTGTATTAGTGTAACGGAGCTCCTTGTACTCCGACCGAGTACCCTCCGTTGACGGATGCTCCTAGCGCTTCCTGAGGACTCCAAGCACTGCAGCAGACACCACAACCACCGCAGACTCCGCAAACGCCGTATCTGGGCTGGAGTCTCGCCGTCTTCCTTCCACCCTGGATCAGCTTCTGTCCTCCAGGACTGTGTGGGAAAGAACTCTTCCTTCCACCCTGGATCAACTTCTGTCCTCCACGACTGTGCGGTGAAGACCCCTCCTCCAAGGAGAGCGTGTCAGGAACAAGCTCTTAAAAGAGCTAAGTGATTCAAGCTCAGGGGAGCATGCAGAGCATAGCAATCCCCAGTGTGATTATAACGGCTCCCTCCAATAACGAGACAAGGCTACGTTTAGAGGGATCAAGAAGAACTGTCAAAACCTTTATTCCCTTGGGACCAGCCAATAGGGTCACCACAATAACATTGTTGTGAAAACTCAATAAAATCACAAACAGTCAAACCAAATCACGCAACACACAGTGACTTATCACAACACAATGGCACATTTTTAAAGGGGTAGGCGGAGACAATATTTAACAGTAAATATCTCACCTGCCTGCAGAATTAGCAAAATGCAAATCTACCCGAATATGCAAATGAACCAGTCTTGCAATTCAGGTAGTGCATATTGCTGTTGCTACCAACAGAGGGCACTAGACAAGCTCCATAGCCAAACCCACCTAGTTGGTAGCAAACCTCAGCAGTACAGGAGAGAAGGCAATACATTTCACAGTACACACACACACTATAAACAATTACAGTACACACACACACTATAAACAATTACATTACACACACCCTGCACCTATAATGGGTACAGGGTGACTAAAACATAAGATAAATAAAGCAGCCTACATAAATAGTCTGTCTGAAGGTAGACAAGGGGCTTTAAAGCCAGATACATGAAAGAGTCATAGTCAAAGGGG